TATATATATATATGGCATAGGCCATTCCACCATTTTCCCATCATATACGTTATATGTATGTATGCTGCGCCGTTAAAGTGTCGACACATTCAGCAAAAGCGGACAAGTGTAGACACCGCCCCACTTCGTTCGTGGTATAAACAATATCCCTGCAAAGCTGCACCCTTAATCTGAGGTTACAGAATCTATCCCAAGGTCCGTGAGGCACTTCACTTACTTCTTCGACTTTTCTGTTTTCTTCTCCATGAAATGGAATCTGACCTCAGCAAGCGGCTCCAACCCCCCCCCCCCTTTCCACCCCCATCCCCACCCCCCACTGTGCCCAGAATTTTGACCTTTATGTCATTTTGGTATACTGAATTGGGTGCTGATCTAACGGGGCAACAGAGCTGCTCTCATACCATCGGCATTTTGCTTCCGCAAACACTTCTATAAAAAGGTTTGAGACTTCGGATGGGTTTCCAAAGCTATAAACATTTTTCCGTCAACTGCATCGTTTGCTGATCTCACTGGTGAGTGTTTTGATTATGCTATGCTCACTCTCCTCTTTACAAATTAATCATCTCGTATCGTGTTACCCTCATATTACATAAACAATACACGTTTTCCTGGAAGCGAGTAATTATTATCTTCCGACCTGTTTCTGGTTAATATTTGTGGAGGCTCAAACACTCTTAAAACTGTAAGTTAACCCTATCGTACGCCCTGGGGTTATTTTAGTACCCCCCAGGTTTGTATTCTTCACATTTTAGAATACTTCTAGTACGAAGATCCCTTTGAAACTTTCAGTATTTCTCAAAAAATCGTTTTGACGGATTGCTATGCAAAGCGTACGGATCGGATTAACTAGCAAATTTCTTCTTTGAAAGTGGTGGCATAGAGTTCCCCTCGCCGAATGGATACGATTGTAAACATCGACGTACGGAAAGGGTTAAAAGCATACTAATCAATTGGGTGTGACATCACTTCAGCTCACATGTGGCACCTCGTAGAGTCTAAACCCCGGATATAAGAAGCAGGCAGTAAGTTACGAACAAGACCTAGTTTGACTTCCATCTCCCGTAAAACCCAACCTTTACTTTACTTTTATCCGCCGCTTATACCCTTCTAGGTGTCGCGGGAAGAAAGAGACGTCTCTCTGCCACCAGCCGGAGAGCTTGGGTCAGGGGGGTGCCGTGAGTTGTTAGTGTTTCCCTGACTCCATCTATCCAGGTCTTTCTCGGTCGCCCTCTGGCCTTGTTGCCATCGAATTTTTTTTTAATGTAGGCACGTTGAGGTGGATGGTGTGTTGGTAATTCCATGGGATGTCCGAACCATTTGATTCTTTGGTGTTGGATGTGATGCATGACATCATTTGTTCCCACCATTTCTCTGATTACTGTGTTTCTAATTTTGTCTCGTCTGGTCTTGTTTGCTGCTTTTCTAAGGCATCGCATTTCACATGTGTAATTCTTTGCTTTAATATCTTGTTCGTGGTCCATGTTTGGCATTGATAGGTGAGTGTTGGGATGAATATGGTGTCGATCATTTTGAGTTTTGTTGTCATTGGGATGTTAGGATGTTTCAATAGTGGTGTAATCTGGTAACTAACATTATTGGCCTTTGTACTCATGTTTGAATTTCTCTGTTCAGTCGTCCATCCTCAGTGAATATACTTCCGAGGTACTTACATTCTTGGACCTGTCTGAGACTGTTGTTGTTCATGTGTATCCCGAGTGGTCCTGGCTTTCTGCTTACTTTCATTGTCTCAGTTTTATTGATGCTGATCTTCTTGTCATAGTTTTTACATTCTTCCTTTAATCTGGTGGTGCGGTGTTGGAGACTTCGTTCATCTTTGTGTGTCAGGCTTTGGTCATCAAAAACCCAACCTAATAGGTAAAACATCGAGTCCAAGAACGTCTCCTTGAGAATCTGAGCACGGCTGCCTAACATGATACCGACTTAGCTAACGGTGTATTATGCGACCAGTCTTCTCTTGCGGGTTGATTTATTACATTCCTATTGTCAGTAATCTTTCAGAAAATTGGTCGCTTTTAAGGACTAGCGGGCTAACCCAAATATCGGGAATTCCCAGAAATCTTGACCTACACCAAAATGGGCATTGTCCTACCTATAGGAGAAGTTTGGTGTCATTGGTGTGTATATTTGTTTGGTTGTAGAGAAAACTCTCCTGTCTTTTAAAGAAACTGAACGAGGATCCAAAAACTTTACCTTCGATTTTTCTCAAAACAGCATTTTTCGGGATAGTCCCCCTGTGTTTAAAAGCGACCAATTAATGCAGGTGTTATTGCGCCCCTCTCAACACATTTTAAATAATTTAAGAAGCGGGCTTGGACCCTGCCTGTCAGTGCCACCATCACAGGCTGAGAGGGAAGGGATACAACATACCAGAAGAAAGGCCGAGAGAATTGTGGCGTCGGTGGCCTAGTGGTTACGCTACCGCACTCGTAATGGTGAGGTTGGGGGTTCGGGGGTTCGGGGGTTCGAGCCGCGGGCCTGACGTTGTGACCAAATTTTCCCCACTCCACCCAGGTGAGAATGGGTACCCGGCCATAGACAGCGAACGATCTTTTCAGTAATTTAGTGTTTTAGAGCCTATAAATGGCTGCTTACACTGTATGCTCCCCATGAAGTTGAGGTTGTTTCAGAATACACTCAGGTCTACTGGGGTAATAGTATAGATTGTGAAGCGCACAGAGCTAGCTGTTGAGCGGGGATTTGCGCTATACAAATGCTATCTATTATTATTATTATTATTATTATTATCATTACTATTATTATTATTATTATTATTATTATTATTACTTGATAACCGTTCTTCTCTGGTCTCTTGTTCGCGGTTGCGAAACCCTTAAAAACAACACCACAGACATCTTCCCTACCCCTTTACCCCCTTTTTTGATGACGCCTTCTGGTAAAGAATCATGCTGCCAAGAATAAAAGAAGTTTAATCGTAGTACAGGTTTTTCACGTCTCTTTCAACACGGTATAGGAAGTCGGATCTTTGAATGGACGCCGTAAAACATCTACTAAAACTAAAAACGAATGTAATAAGTTCCATCTCCGATAGGGCCGAGCCAAGAGAGTGGAAAAACTTGGAAACTAAATGTGTTATAACTATTTTTTTAAAAACCCATCCTATTAGAACTCGCTTCAGAGCCATCGACGGTCCCATAGCCCCTTGTGATAACAACTGAGGTAACGGTGCCCTGGAGACTGCAATAATTATTATCATGCAAGGCCTTTTGCTAGTTGATGCGTCCTAATGTAGAATTATTACAGTCTCTATAACGGAGGTGCAGGCTTGTTTATTATCATTCATCTATAGATGTAATTAGTAACATTATTTTTCCTCTCTAAGTGGCTGGTTGGCAGGTGCTCTGGTGTGGTTTGCCTCTTCTTTTCTATCAAACATCTATCGTCTTTATCTCCCCCTCTTTCTTTTTTGTACATGTTAATCTCTTGTAACACCTCTAATTTTTTACACTTATGACCTTTTTGTGTTGCAAGTGCCGTAAAACACTTACTAAAACTAAACTTTCCTCTCCAAAGGGTTAGAGGTCGTAGGCTTATTCCTTTCTCTTTTTATGCATATTTTAAAAAAAACTTTCAGTATATATAGCATATAATATGCTCAAGAGAGAGAGAGAGAGAGAGAGAGAGAGAGAGAGAGAGAGAGAGAGAGAGAAAGGAAGAGAGAGAGAGGGGGGGAGTTGAAAAGAGAGGGAGGAATAGGGATTGAGATAATGAGACAGGAAATTTGCGATGCTCAAGGATAGATAACTAGGTTAAAACAGCACCTGTACATGTATGGCTGATGCCTGTATAAAGAAAGTATTGATGGTCAAGGTGGGTGGCTGTCGTGGGATGGGGAGAGTGTAAATGGTGTGTGGGGGGAGGAAAGAGAATGTGGGTTGAGGGTTGGTGTATGTGTGTGTATTTGGGGGGTGGG